CCCAGATAATTGCACAAAAAAAGAAACCTTATGAAGACGGAGAAATGATAAAACAGGCGTTTTTAGAAGCTGCTGATTCGTTATTTGCCAACTTTAGAAATAAAGACGAGATAGTTTCAGCTATAAAATCTATGCAACTTTCTGCTAATACAGTGATGAGACGTGTAGAAGTAATGAGCAATGATATTTTTTTACAGTTAAGAACTGACTTAGATAACTGTGTTTATTTTTCACTTCAACTGGATGAATCAACAGATGTCGTTGACACTGCCCAGATGGCCGTGTTCGTCAGGATGGTTTTTAGTGATTTTACGATTAAAGAAGATCTTTTGAAGTTTATTCCACTGAAAGGTCACACTACTGGACAGGAGTTGTTTTCTCATTTAAATAATATTATTTCTTCCGAGAAAATTCCAATATCGAAAATGGTAGGCTTAACAACCGATGGCGCTCCAGCTATGGTGGGTTGTGATAAGGGTCTGGTTATGTCGTAAAGATGAAACTTTTCCGCAATTTCTCTGTTACCACTGCATTATCCATCCGCAAGCATTATGTGGAAATTTCCTGAAACTAAACAACGTTATGAAACTGGTGGTAAAAATTGTGAACAAGATTAGAGCTCAAGCCTTACAAAGAAGATTATTCAAAACCTTGGCCGATGAAGTTGACTGTCAATACGGGGACCTACTCCTTCACTCTGAAGTCCGATGGTTAAGTAGAGGACGGGTGATGAAACGTTTTAATGATGTCCTATCTGGCATAGTTCAATTTTTCAAACAACGCGATGAACCGACTCCGGAACTAAAAAATTCAATCTGGCTTAGAGATTTTGGTTTTCTCGTGGACATTACAGAGAAATTAAACGAACTTAATTTGCAGCTTCAGGGGAGAGACAAAGAACTAGCGGAAATGATTTCTGATATAAAAGCATTTATCAAAAAGCTGGAGTTTTGGGAACAAAACCTAATTAACAGCGATGCCAAGCATTTTCCTATTCTTTCAGAAAAACTATCTCAAAATCCATTAGAACCCTATGACAGCAAATATCATGTAGAAATAGTTTCTACCCTGTAGAATAACTTCAAAAATCGTTTTAAGGATTTCAACGAAATGTCTTTAGAGCGCAGTTTGTTGTTTCACCATTTATGGAGATTGATATCCAACAGTTTGCAACTTGTGTTATGCAGAACTTTGGCGAAGACATCGCTGCAACAGAAATGTAAGTAATTGAGTTTCAAAATGATTTAGCCTTAAAATCGTTAGTCTTAAGTACCAAATGTTTCTGGCCTATTGTAAGTAAAGACAAATATTCAGTTCTATGTCGTGTTGCCTTGAAAGTGAAAGCATTATTAAGTTCAACCGATTTGTGTGATTCTTCTTTTTCCAATATGAAGTTTATTAAGAACAAATATCGCAATCGACTTACAGATGAACATTTGGATAATTGTATTCGAATGGCTGTATCAAATTATACTGCAAACATTAAAAAAATTATCGATGAGTCTGAGTGTCAGCCTTCTCATTGAACGTGCTTTTTTATTTTTCAATGTTTTATGTTCATGATAGTGCGTTACTTTTTTGTTGTTATTATTAACTATTTTTAAATCTTACGTGACATGCCCTTGTGGCTGGATAAAAGTTTGTGTTTATTTTTCAAACACCTTCGTTTGGTAGGTAGGAATGTAGCTATGAACAAGTACGTACTAGTAATATTAGTTATTTTGTTATTAGTTTATTATTAGTACCTATGTATTATGTATTACCAGTTAAATAGTAAAATAAATACATATAATGATAAATTAACTGTGGATTATTTCATTTACGTTGCGTTACGTGGCTTCCGGGTGGGTAGCTCGCTGTTTATTCCAAAATTAACAAAGTATCTCAACACATTGAGAGGTTGGCGACCACTGCGCTATAGGGTGGATAATATTTCCTTAAATAATGTCCTATGAGACTTCCTATTTATTTTGTTACTGATAGCATCTCCTTCCTCTCAGTTTCTAAATTCGTAATGCCTAAATTCTAAATAGCTAAGCTAAACACACAAATAAACAAAATATCTTCCAAAAAAATATATCCTTTGCCGCCGCTGCAAAGCATAACGATAACAAGTCAAAAATAGCCTCGCCGCCGTATGAATCAGTCCACACAATCTTTATTTTTAGTATTATTATGATTGCACTTGACGTAAAAATAAAAAATGGAAAATAAATAAACATCGTCAGAAAAATCAACACAAATGTTGTAGTGCTTCAACGTTTATGGCCGACCAGAAAATATAGAGAAAGCTTTTGGGTCAGAAATCGGAAAATAGGCATAAAATATTGGCAAAAAAACTTAAATTAAAATAAAGACGCTACTGCAAAATTTTACAAAGATATTTTATTTCTGAAAGTGTCTATAATCATCAGGGAGGTTGAAGAGATGGAAAAGATGATCAAGTTGATATAAGTAACACCACTTTCGCTATACAGGGTGTCTGTAAAAGGTCTTTACAAGAACATACCACATATTCCTTAGACCAAAATAAGTCGATTTAAGTAAAATTACCTTAGTACAAAGTTGCTTCGTTTGGGCTCCAGAGGGCCTTGAAGTTACAATTTTTAAATCGTTTTTCCCATATAAATTTAAAACGGCATATGCGATTTTGCTGAAATTAAATTTGGTATATTGGTAGAGTTTTATGTGGCAAAAAAAATGGTATTAAAATTTTGTCCGATAATAATACATAGGCGTAGAACTTGATTTTTTAAATAATTGCACCTTTAAAAATTCTACGCCAATGGAAGAAAAGGAGTTTGAGTATGAAATTTAGATTGCGCAACTCATTTACTTTAAAAAAGGTACTCTTGATAAGACTCGATTACTCTCATGGTTTTCGCTAAATTTCTGTTGTAATAATTTAGAGTGTATAGGTTTCACAAAAATATTTATTTACAACATAATCAAAATAGAGATTTTACAAAAATTGTTCAAAATGTTCACCATTTTCACGCATACAAAGATTTATACGTCGTAGAAAATTAAAATGTATCCTTTCCATAACTTCTTCATCACCTCTAAGATTGTATATTGCATCTTGAATACGTTGCCAGAGTTGTTCCTCATTTTCTACAGGTTCCCTGTAAACTGTGAATTTCAGATGTCCCCTTAAAAAGTAATCCATCGGTGTTAGGTCTGGGGAACGTGGTGGCCAGTTTACAGGTACGTTATTAGCTCTGCCTATCCATTTGTGTGGATATTGTTCATTCAAGTGGTTTCTAACGATTAAAGAAAAATGTGGTGGCTCCATCTTGCATAAAGCACATATCTCTCCGAAGTTGGAGAGGTAAATCTTCTAACAATTCTGGTAACGTATTTTGTAGAAAATCCAAATAATTTTCTCCAGTTAATCTTCGTGGAAGTATGACCGGACCAACAATGAAATTACCAATTATTCCAGCCTACACATTAATTTTGAATTCGTGGTGAAAATGGTTTACCTTTATTGCATGCGGATTTTCAACGGCATAAACATGTTCATTATGGGTATTAGTTATACCTCTTCTTGTAAAACCCGCTTCATCGGTAAAGAGAACCTTCTTGACAAAGTTTGGATCTCTTTCTCTTTGCATATTAACAAATCGACAAAAACCCAAACAAATTTGTGGATCATGGACTAATAATTCTTGTACTGGCTTCTTATGGTATGGATATAGCAATTGTTCTCTAAGCACTTTATAAACGACATCTTTACTTACTCCTAGTTCCCTTCCAATTCGTCTGGTGCTTAATTCTGGATCTTTTTCAACATGTTCTAAAATGTCTTCTTCAACTTCAGGAATTCTTACAAAACGTTCTCTTCCATTATCAACAGTGTTGGGAGCAAAGGAACCGTTCTCCCGAAGACGTCTCTCAACAGCAGCAAAAGTTGGGTGGCTAGGTACACGACGATTTGGAAACCTTTCAGAGTACACCCTGACACTCTCTCGAGCATTTCCTTCACAAAATCCTAATGTCAGTAGCATATCGGTATATTCTGCATTGGTATATTGTACAGCCATATTAATAAACCACGCATTTGTTTTTTTAATTATTGAGTCAGATAGAACACTTTCAATCGTTAACAAGAGATTAGGTGTTAAAACTTGACCATATTTTTATTTAGATGAAACTATGGAAACCAACAATAAATGTTTTTGTATACGTATTGCAGGCAAATAATTTAAAAATTCTACGCCAATGGCAGAAAAGGGGTTTGAGTATGAAATTTGGATTGGGTACTCATTTACTACAAAAAAGTACCCTTGATAACACTCGATTTACTCTCATGGTTTTGACAAAGTTTGTATTTTAATAATTACAATTATTGTTTATGTTCTAAAATTACTAAAATGCAAATTTCGTCAAAACCATGAGAGTAATCGAGTCTTATCAAGAGTACCTTTTTTAAAGTAAATGAGTTGCGCAATCTAAATTTCATACTCAAACTCCTTTTCTTCCATTAACGTAGAATTTTTAAAGGTGCAATTATTTAAAAAAATCAAGTTCTACGATCGGACAAAATTTTAATACCATTTTTTTGCCACATAAAACTCTACCAATATACCAAATTTCAGCAAAATCGCATATGCCGTTTTAAATTTATATGGGAAAAACGATTTAAAAATTGTAAATTCAAGGCCTTCTGGAGCCCAAACGAAGCAACTTTGTACTAAGCTAATTTTACTTAAATCGACTTATTTTGGTCTAAGGAATATGTGGTATGTTTTTGTAAAGACCTTTTACAGACACCCTGTATATAATCACCAACGATTTGGGTTGTATTAAACCACAGTTTGTTCAAGAGTTTTTATTTCGTTTAACTTTACCCAGCCACTCTCAACTGAAAACCGGCCATACAATAATCAAAATTAACCCCTTTGTTGTGTAACCTTAGCCTTCTACCACCTTGAGTCGAGGCGCTACTTTCATTGTGTGGTTGATTAGTCATCAAAGTCAAAAATAATATCATACAGGGTGAAATTAAAAATCAAGATATTCGTCACCCTCTTATTACAAAAGCAATCCAATATGCCACTGCCACCGAAGATTTGGGATTAACAACGCCTTTAATTGTTCATTTGAAACCGATTCTGGAAACGAAACAGCCAGTCGTTAATGGCGGCGAACGATCTTGGCGAAACTAAAGAATGTCGTCTATTTATTAAGGATATTAATAACATTCATTATTTAATTGATACAGGTGCCGATATATCTGCCCTACATAAACAAAATTATATGCAGCAAACGGCTCACCTATAAGTACTTTTGGATAAAAGACTTTAACCGTAGATTTAGGACTTGGAAAAAACTATACATGGACATTTGTAATAGCGAATAATGGGAGCAAATTTTTTACGAACAAATAAAATTTCAGTGAATCTAGCAAACAAATGAATTTGTGATATTAGCAGAGATATTTGAACGAATTGTCAAGTAACCAAAGTTAGAGAATGTACTAAAATAACTTCAATAAATAAGATTTAACCATATTTAAAAATTTTATTCCAGTTCCCTAACCTATTAAATTCTATTAATGATAAAAAATGGCAGATGTTTCACATCAAATAATTACGAAAGGGCCTCCAGTGCACTGTAAGGCTCGTAGATTAAATCATGAAAAATTAGCAGATGCAAAAAAAGAATTCAGCAGTCTTCTAGAAGCTAAAATAATTCGCCCATCAAAGAGCCAGTGGGCTAAGTCCATTACATATGGTTAGAAAACCAAATGGTGAATGGAGAGCTTGTGGAGATTACAGTCTTTTAAACATGAAAACTGTACCTGATCGTTACCCGATTCCAAATATTAAATATTTTACGTTCCACCTTAAAAACAAAAAAATATTTTCAAAAATAGATCTGACTACGGCTTTTCATCAAATTCCTATGTCACCAGAAGATTTAGAAAAGCAATAATTACACCTTTTGGACTTTTTGAATACCTCAAAATGCCATTTGGGTTAAGAAATGCAGCCCAAACACGCCAAAGATATATCCATCAAATAAATAGAGACTTAGAATTTTGTTTTCCTTATCTGGATGATTTTTTGGTAGCTTCGGAAAATGAAAGTCAACATAAGATTCAACTTACAAAATTTTTTACAAGGCTTGAAAAATATGGCATTCTAATAAATCCTCAAAAATGCGAATTTGGTCAAATCTCAATCGATTTTGTTGGCTATGTGGTTTCTCAAGAAGAAATTAAAGGATTTAAAGGAAATTAGACGTTTGCTTGGTATGGTTAACTTTTACCGATCCTCATTACCGATATAATGGCTCCATTGAATGAATTTTTAAACCGCAATTCAAATCAAAATAGAAAATTAGAATGGACTGACATTCAGGGAAAATCATTTGTTGATTTAAAACATGTCGTAAAGAATGTGACAATGTTAACACAACCCTCAAATTCTTGCCCAATTTCTTTAATGGTAGACGCATCAGACCACTCTTCTGGGTGCGGTATTGCAGCAGTTTGAAGAAAATAAAATTGGGAAACCTCTAGGTTTCTTTTCAAAAAAATTATCCAAGTTTCAAATGAAATATAGCACATACGACAAAGAACTCCTAGCTATCTACGAAAGTACTAAACATTTTCGCTGAATGCTTGAGGAGCGTGGTATAACTCGGTAGTCTCCTTTTTTAAGTTTACCGAATTTTAATAGACCTTTTTAGGTTCTGTACTCAAAGGGTAACCAAAGGGACCTTATTACTCAGCCTCCACTGTCCATACGTCTGTCAGCGGGCTGTATCTCATGATCCACAATAAGTAGAAAGTTGTAATATTCACAACAAATAATAAAAGTAAAAATATATTAAAAATTAAAGAGGCTTCCTTACTAGAAACCAGTTTTTTGTTTTTTTTTTGCTCAATCTTAAAGTATTTAAAAGTACCTGCAAAGTATTAAATCTTGTACGATGGTGCGGAACGCTTCACGCGTGTCCTACTCGCACTTGGCCGGTTTTTTATTATAAATATCACACATTCAATAATTATTTTTTTACGCTATTTTAGGAAGAATCTTAGAAAATACCTTTTAGAATATATTGGACTCCAATTCAAAGGTAAAACTCTCAGATATATCATTCAACATTTTTTATACATTAGATAATTAATAACTTTGTTATCAAGAATTATTATTTTCTGGCAGAAGATAACGAGCAGGTAATCGTGAATTTAAAAACAGGTCAAATTTTGGTCAGATAATTATCGTTTGATAAAGATAGGTACACCGAAATAAATCTAGAAAACCGTCATATTATTGATATTCAGTTCTTAATGCAACAACTAATGAACATAAATAATCATGCACTACAATTTGGTTGTTCAGTAAATAGTTTATTACTGAGAAGATTCTAAAAATATGGGGAAGTTAATGTTTTATCTATACTGTATGCTGCCTGAATTGGTAGATGTAAGGCATGACCGGGAATGTCATTAAGAGCATCTGATTGTATTTTAGCAAATAAAAATAATTACTTAAAAAAGTAAAACAGCATTAAAGGTACTTCACTAATTATTAGTGAACTACCTTTAATGTAGAAACTACTACTACTACTATAGTAGTTATTATGAACATTGGTTCAAATTGTATCTACAAACACCGCTACTTTATGACAAAAATAGTTGATAAAAACTTTTAATATTTTTCATTTTAATCTAGGTACTATTAAAACACTCTAATACCTATATTTATTTGCAGGTACCTTTGTGAATAATTTATTTGTAGTATTGGGTCTAAATTAAATTTAAAATACATTTCTTATGCCTAACACCGATACGTTGTAAAAAATAATATCAAACTGTTTAGTCAAATGCCCTACTCTTTACAAAAATAAAATATTTTATAATTTCTGATATAATTACATCATATCTAGAAATTAAAAATATCCCATGTACAGGGTTCATAAAATATTACACAACTTTTAGCGTTTGTTCTTTTATAATATTCAGTTATTTTAAAAGCAGAAACTCATAACCTTGCAGGAATTTGAGATATTAACTGAGAAGAATTCGCATACCTCATCTCAGTCTGTTCATAAGATCGTTGATGTAAAGAAGAGCACAGTTGTGATATATCCATGATACTATAAGAAGAAGATATTATATTACGCCGATTGATACTACACCACAGCGACATAATGTGATGATCGAAAACAGCGCGCGAAAATAAATTTTAATTAGCTCATGGCCAATCATCCATATTCCACACCACAATACGTCATGATCATTTAACGGCAGCATCATAAAATGCGGATCAATCAAAGCCGGAGAGTAACAAAACACAACAGTTTTGTTTACTCAGTTAGTTTTTAAAATATTAATTATATAAAAAGATCTTTTTGAGTTTCAACCAGTATAGACCGAAATACTTCTGAATTTTATTCTTTTGAACACATAAGTTACGAATAAAAACATTCGTCAGTATTGTAAAAATTGCAAAATAAATAATGTAATAATAAATAAATAATGTAAATTAATATATTCTATATATTTGTATAGAATAAAAAATTAAGTTATCTTCTTTCTTTATTTATTCCAAGTTGAAAAAGATATTTTTCTGCAAGAAATTATAAGATCATTACAATAGCAGACAGCAACAAAATCAAGAAAAACTTGTAATGAAACCTAAGTATTTTCTCCACGTTCCATTCACAGATAAGTCAGAAAACATGTAAATTAATATATTATGAAACATTTGTTAAATACATTATTTATAAGGCTGATTTATAGATTTTATTATTTTAGATGATATTCTTGGGACAATGAATTATTTTAGAAAATTTATACCCATTATAGGTATAAATATAATGTTTCAACCTAATTGTTTCTTTGACAAGGGGGGTAGCCATGTGTGAGTTGAGGTAATTTTAAGGTGAAGGGTGAGAAAAAGTCCTTTATATCTCACAAGGAAAGCCAATGTTTAATTGTTTAACAAAACATTGAGTGCGACCGGTTCCGAAGTGTCATCACTTCATCTTCAGGCTCGCCTAGTGGAAAGGAGAATATGTGGTGTAAGGTGTGTTAACTTGGAAACAAAACGATATATAAAATAATAAAAAAGAGAAAACTCACCATACTCTCCATCCACTAGGGAATACTACAAAAACAAGTTTCATCAATTTTGGGTTGAAATAAATTGTAAAATGAACCGATTTACATGTAATAAAAAGTTAAAAATATTTGAAAAAACAAATATTAGTCAATTATAGTAAAAATTTTAAAATATTCAAGACTATACAAAAACAAATCACATACATTAAACAGATTAAAAGATAAGGCCTATTTTAAACATTGTTGTTTTTTTAAAAAACTAACATTTTTTGAAAGGAGACCTGTCAAGTTAAGGCCTCTACAGGTGGTGGTAAGTATTATAACGAAAAAATTCTTGGGTAAACTTATGACAGGGTATAGTTAATAAGATGTAATCATAAGTTTACCCAAGAATTTTTTCGTTATAATACTTACCACCACCTGTAGAGACCTTAACTTGACAGGTCTCCTTTCAAAAAATGTTAGTTTTTTAAAAAAACAACAATGTTTAAAATAGGCCTTATCTTTTAATCTGTTTAATGTATGTGATTTGTTTTTGTATAGTCTTGAATATTTTAAAATTTTTACTATAATTGACTAATATTTGTTTTTTCAAATATTTTTAACTTTTTATTACATGTAAATCGGTTCATTTTACAATTTATTTCAACCCAAAATTGATGAAACTTGTTTTTGTAGTATTCCCTAGTGGATGGAGAGTATGGTGAGTTTTCTCTTTTTTATTATTTTATATATCGTTTTGTTTCCAACACACCTTACACCACATATTCTCCTTTCCACTAGGCGAGCCTGAAGATGAAGTGATGACACTTCGAAACCGGTCGCACTCAATGTTTTGTTAAACAATTAAACATTGGCTTTCCTTGTGAGATATAAAGGACTTTTTCTCACCCTTCACCTTATAATTGTTTCTAATCAAACTATTTTTTAAATATACTGAGATATTGTAAATTCTATATTAAAAACAAAATTATCTTATGTAATAAATATTCCCACTTCGCACCATCGAGCAATACTAAATTTCAGATCTATCCTATATGTAACCCTTATTTCATACCTGGCCAAATTTCAATACTAGGTAAACGAGAAAGA